CAATGCCAATGCCGTTGTTCGCCGAAGCTGCCACGATGCCAGCCACGTGGGTGCCGTGGCCGTGCTCGTCCATGGGGTCTGCGCTGCCGCGTTCGAAGTCGTAACCATGGTAGTCGTCCACGTAGCCGTTGCCTGCAGCAGCAGCAAGCAGCAGCAGCAGCGGCAGCGCTGCAGCAGCAGCGCTGCAGCAGCAGCACACGCGGAGCACGCGGCGCACACAGCAGGGGCGGCAGGCGAGGCAGGCACAGCGCAGGGGAAGAGTAAAGTGCGGAAATGCTGCAGCAGGTGCAGCAGCTGCAGCGGGAGCAGCAGGCGCAGCACGTGGGAAAGAATGAAGTGTGCAAATGCTGCAGCAGGTGCAGCAGGAGCGGCAGCAGCAGCACAAGCAGCACATGGGCGCATGGGTCGGCAGGCTGCTGCTGCTGTTCGTGCTGGAGGCACTGCTGGGGCTGGCAATGTGCCCCGTGCTGCTGCTTTGCAGCAGCAGCAGCAAGACCGCGCCGCCGCCACGAGCAGCAGCAGCACCATCAGCGCAGCACGGTGGCCCGCAGCTGCCCCGCCCCAAGAAATAGCAGCAGAGCGCCAGCACGAGCAATGACAGCAGCAGCCACAAGAGCAGCAGCACCAGCAACAGCCGCAAATGCAGCAGCAGCAACAGCTGCAACAGCAGCAGCAGCAGCAGCGGCAGCAGCAACAACAGCAGCAGCAACAGCAAGAGCAGCAGCAGCAGCAGGACTGACCGTCATCGTCAATACCGTTGTTAGGGATCTCTCCAGTGTTCTTCCAGAGTCTGCCTTTGAGGTCTTCATGAGTGTAGTCGACGCCTGTGTCGATGACAGCAACAGTGATGGGTTCTGGGGAGGACCTTGCTGCAGATGGGTGTGCTGCGGGGTCTGCTGCTGCTGCTGCTGCTGCTGCTTCCCGCTGCCGCTGCCGGCGCCGGTACACCAGCCTCCACGCCTCAGTCATTCTGCAGCCCAAAGTCCTGTTGTGCAGCGCCCACTGGCGGCTGAAGAGAATATCATTAGGAGTTGCTTCTTCGGAGGCGAGGAACGCTTCTCGCTGCTCTAGCAGTTCTTCGTTTTCCTCCTCCTCAGCAGCAGCAGCAGCTGCTGCTGCTGCTGCTGCCCGCGGAAAGGGAAAAAAAAGCTCTTCTTCCTTCTCTGACGCTGCTGTTGCTGCTACCTCTTCCATCGAAGCTGCCGCTGCTGCGGCTGTTTCCGGCGCGTCCATCCCTGCTGCTGCTGCTGCTGCTTCCGGCAGGCCAGTCTTACCTGCTGCTGCTGCTTCTGCTTCTTCAGTTGCTGCTGCTGCGTCGAGCCGCCTCACGTTGCCCCCAAAGTTCATTTGCTCCGGAGTAGCAACAACTGCTTTCGGCAGCTGCAGCTGCTGAAGATAAGCTTCCTTGAGGGGCTCTGGGCTGAGAGCAGCAGCAGAAGAAGGAAGAGCATCAGCAGAGGGGCTGGGGCGGCTGTCTTCTTCGCGCTGCTGCGCCTTCAGCTTGGTCGACTTTTGCTGCTTCGGTGAGCGAGTTCGCTGCTGCTGCTGAGCCTGCTTGTCGCTCGAGGACTTGTCCTGCTGCTGCTGCGCCTTCAGCTTGTGCTGCTTCTGCTGAGGGGTCTCCTTGACGGGCTTGGCCTTAGGAGAGCGCGTCTGCTGCTGCTGCTGCTGCTTGCTGGTGCTGCTGGACCTCTCTTTCTTTGTCGCTGCCTTGGTGTCTGCTTGGAGGGCTTTGATATCCTGCTGCTTCTGCTTCCGTGCCGTGGCCTTGTCCACGCGCTGCTGCTGCTGCTGCTGCTGCTTGGTCTTGCTGCTGCTGCTGGGGCCGCTGAGGCTGCTGGGGCTGCTGTCGCTGCTGCTGCCGCTGCTGGGGCTGCTGCTGCCGATGCTGGGGTTTGCGTAGAGCTCTTCTGCAGCCATGAGCATCCTGCGGGACCATCTGTCTACTCGAAAGGGCCCTCTGGAGGTGCGCGTCTCATCTGCTGCTGTATTAGATGCTGCTGCTGCTGCTGCTGGTGCTGCAGGCTCCTCATCCAGCCCCCTGATCTTCACCTCCGAGTCCGCCTCAATCAGCCAAGTGGCCGGTGAACGCAGCCAAATGCGTTTTACAGTTTCTCGAATTTGAGCTTCTGAAGACTCGGGGCTGAAGTCCACTACAACAAGCCCCACTTCTGGCAGCACTTTCACATCTCCCACCAGTTGCTGCTGCTGCAGCTCCTCCGCGTTGATTGCTGCCTTGCCCATCGCCTCCGCCTCCGCCCGCGTGCTGATGCTGCGGCCGTCCCTCCCGCTGCTGGTGCTGCTGCCGCTGCTGCTTTCCGAGCGCCGCTGCAGCAGCAAGTCGAAGTCCTTGTCGCCGGACTGCAGGTCCGCCACCCCTATTATGATGCGCCCGTTCGGCTGCCCGCGGTTGCGCGCAGCGTCCACAGATCTGCAGCAGCAGCAGCAGACGATGCGCGCAGCACCACCAGTAGCAACAGCAGCAGCAGCAGCAGCACGGGCCGCAACGGCAGCCACAGCAGAAGCAGCACAACAAGTAGCTTACAACGCGGCAGCACCCCCTTACCACCCTCCCTCCAACTACCACCAGCCCCACAGCCAGCAGCAGCCGCAGTAGCAGCAGCAGCAGCAGCAGCAGCAGCTACCTGGCGATGGCGGCGCTTTGCCTTTCGATCTGCTCGGGGTCCACGGCGAAGAGCCTGTCGATTTGCCTCTCGAGTTCCGCCTCAGTAAGAGCCTCTTCTTTGCGGCGGTCTAGAAAAGACTGCGGGACCTTCAAGTAGCCTCCCCGCCGTTCGCTGTAGGGGCGGCGCACCAGGCAGGGCACGGGCTCCTCCGCTTCTGCTGCTGCTGCTGCTGCTTCTTGTTGCTGCGGGGGCAGCCGGGGTGGCGGCGGGGCTGCTGCTGCTGCTGCTGCTGAGGATGGTGGTGGTGATGACGGCGCTGCTGAGGCTCCTCCTGCGGAGCCTTCAGCTTCTGCTGAGGATGGAGATGGAGATGGCGATGCTGGGGAAGGTGACGCTGGGGTTGCTGCTGCTGCTGGCAGGGGGCGTGCTGCTGCTGCTGCTTCTGCTGCTGCGAGGGACCCGGGCGAGGGCCCTGCTGGTGCCGGCTCTACTGCAGCAACTGTTGCTGCTGCTGCCGGCGACGGAGAACCTGCGGCTGTGCCGGCAGAATCACCTGACTCCAATGCAGTAGCAGACGGTGCACCTGCTTCTGATGCCGCTGCTGCTGCTGCACGTGCTGCTGCTGCAGTTGTTGCGCTACCTGCTGCTGCTGCTAGACTGCCTGAAAGAGCTTCCAACTCAAGGCTCTCCGAAGAGCCACCTGCAGACTCTTTTGCTTCATCTACCTCTTCTGCTTCCGCTGCTGCGCCTGCTTCTGCTACTGCGCCTGCTTCTGCTGCTTCTGCTGTGCCTACTTCTGCTGCTTCTGCTGCGCCTGCTTTTTCTCCTGTTGCTTCAGCAACGCCTGCTTCTGCTGCGCCTGACTCTGCTGCCGCTACTTCTGCTGCGCCTGACTCTGCTGCCCCTGCTGGTGCTTCTGTTACGGCTGCCGCTGGTGCTTCTGCTGCTGCTGCTGCACCTGTTGCACCCTCATCTGCTGCTGGGGTTGCAGGAGGCGAATCTGCAGGGGAGTCGCCCCCTGCAGGCGAGCCTATACTGCTGCTGCCGCTGCTACTGCTGCCATTGCCGCTGTTGCTGCTGCTTTTGTTAGCTGAGCTTTCACTGTCTGAGCCCCTCAAATTGTCCCCAGCGACGACTGGGAGGAAGTGAGGGAGGCCCGCAGCAGCCACGCTGTCGTCGCTGCTGCTGCCGTGCAAAGGGTAATGCAGGTTTAGCAGCGCCGCTGCCGCTGCAGAAAAGAGCAGCAGCAGCGACTGCCGCGGCGGTCTTCTTGTTCCGCGCATCTCCTGCAAACTGATTTTCTGGAAGACTCCTCTGCTGCTACTGCTGCTCCTGCTGTTGCTGCTGCTGTTGCTGCTGCTTGTTGACTCGACCATTAGTCTGTCCACATCAACAGACAGCCAATTGGGTTGGGAATAAGCAGTTAGAGCACCTGCTAAATACCAGTAGCAATGCCGCTGCTCCCTGTGTCTATCTTCGCAACGGGAACCGCCGCTGCTGCTGGTGCTGCTGCTCCTGTTGTTGCTGCAGCGGCTCGTGGAAATAACCAAGTGGAGGTAACCATATAGCCCCACACAATAAAGAAAAAAGGAGATAGAGGAAAGACAGAAGGTTAAGGGGATCCACTTGCTGCAGCTGTCTGCCGCAGCACAGGGTCACCTGCTCGGGGCGAGCAGCAGCAGCTTGCCGCTGCTGCTGCTACGTTGCTGCTGCTGGCGCTACGCAGGAAATGCGGCAGTTTCCCCTGCTGCTCCTCGAATCTGACTTGAAATCTAATAAGATTAATATTATTTTAACACTAATTCTATATTTCAGAGCCACAGACACCGTTGCAGGTCGTCTTCTGCAGTAGCTACTGCTCCCTGCGTGTCTTTGCTGCCGCTGCCGACGACCCCCCACAGCTCAGCCTCTCTTCGCTCTCTTTTCCTGGCGTACTCTTCCCCCAAACCAAGTTTTAAAAAGTTATGAAGTTGGCTCTTTGCCCTAGATGGGCGTTTTAGCTGCCTACAACGCTCGTGCAGCTGCATAGCCAAGGCTGGTGTGCGGGGCCAGCAAGAGGCAGCTATCTGTGCAGCTAGCCGCCACTTTGGAGGCACCTATCTGTTCGGCTAGCCGCCCCTAGAGGGACAGAAGGACTTGCTGCTAGCCCATACGACGAAACGCAGCTAGCTACCCAGCGTGCCACCGCTGGAAGCTCAGTCAGCTACCCAGCTAGCCGCCGTTGCAGACTCAGCTAACTGCTCAGCTAGCAACCAATGCAAAGCTAACTATCTGCCCAGCTAGCCACTACTGCAAACTCAGCTAGTCACTGAGCTACCCACCAAAGAGATGCTGCGTCTCAACTCGGCTTGCCACAGCTAGCTCTTAAGCCAAAGGCCGGCGCAGACGAAGCCAGCTAGCAAGGCACCTACCCGCAGCTAGCTAGGCTGCTACCCGCAGTGCTCTGGCTGCTGTCTGCTGCCGCAGGCGCTGGCCCCCTAGGAGCCGCCTGCTTAGGGCGAGGCTTCAGCTAGCTGCTGGCAACGTGGCAGCAGGGCTGGCTAGTCGTATGCCAACAGCTAGCCACCGCAGCTAGCGACTAGCCAGTGCGCACTGCAGCTAGCCACGGCCACCAGTCCTACCCTGGGCTGCCTTTTTCGTTAAGTCGGGGCCACTCCTGCTGCTGCTACTGGCTTCGCAGCTGCAGCGAGCCAGAGCTGCCCTACAGTCTAGGGAAACCTGCTACGGTTTCCCCAACTGCACGGCTTTTCGTCGACGCAGCAGCAGCGCAGCACCAGTAGCAGCACAACGTTATGCTGCTGGGTGCCACCGCAGCCTCTGCCTGCATGTTTGCATGCCTTTTATTGGAAGTCGTTTTGCTTCCCTTTGTGTTGCTGTCGCTTCTCACTGCGCACTATAATGCTGACTAGCTGCTGCTGGTGGCTGTGCTCTGAAATGAATGCTGCTGCGCCGTGCTGCAGCAACAGTAGCTTCCGCAACACTAGCTACAGCAGCAAAAATTGCAGCGGGAGCGAAGCAGCATTGGCTACAGCAGCAGCTGTAGCAGCAGCCGCTACAGCGGTCAGTGCGTGGCGCTCTTTGAAATGAGTTCTTCGTCATTTGGTTTTTTATTCAAAACAGCAAATCCAAGGGCCACTGCTGCAGCCACTGTAGCAGCAGCAGTAATAACAGGGCTCTAACTGCAGAGCCCTTCAACTGCACCGCTCTGCGTTCCGCCAACATGAACTGTCACGAAGGAGTCTGCTCTGCTGCTGCAGCAGCCGCAGCAGCTGCAGCATCAGCGGCCGTAGCAGCCGCAATCGCTGCTTCTACAAACGCCGCAGCTGCAGCTACGGCTGCAGCTGCAGGCGTAGCTCGGTCAGTTGCAGCAGCCGCACCAGCTGACCAGCACCAGCAGCAGCTGCTGCTGCTGCTAGGCCGCAGGCAGCCTCAAGGGGTGAGGGACTTGGAGTCCAGAGCCTGGCCCATGGCGTGCAGGCCGTTGTCCACATAAAGTGTGGCCCCAGTGACGGCGCGGGCCAGCGGCGACAGCAGGAAGAGAGCGGCTCTGCCCACGTCGTCGCTTTCCAGCTCCTGCAGCAAGCAGCATCGCACAGCACAGGGCCAGCTGCAGCAGCAGCAGCAGCGGGGAAGGGCGCAGCCCGGCGTCCGAGAAGCTGGCGCCGTCGCTGTCGAAGGATCGAGGCAGCGTGCGCTCCAGCAGCAACAACAGCCGCAGCAGCAAAAATAGCAGCAGCAGCACGAGCAGCCGCAGCAGTAGCACAAGCCGTAACCACAGCTGCACAGGCATCCCCAGCAGCAGCACAAGCAGCCCGAGCAGCAGAACAGGCAGCATCCCCGCGGCAGCAAGAACAGCAGCAGCAGCAGCAGCCGCCGCCCAGCGGCCCTAAACCAGCAGTAGCCACCGCCGCGCAGTGGCCGCAAACCAGTAGCAGCAGCAGCAGCAGCAGCAGCAGGGGGACCTTCTGGAGAGGTGCGTTGGCCTCTGAGTAGTCGATGGCGAGGTCGATGAAGGTCTTGTCGCCGGCCTTGCCAATGGCCGAGGCCGCGCGGCTCTTCAGCGGCCCCGCGCTGATGCAGTTTACCCGCACGGCCCGCGCGCGGCCAGCCTCGAAGGCCAGCGTGCGGCAGTCCGACTCCAGCGCGGCCTTCGCGCTGCTCATGCCTCCCCCGTAGCCTGCAGCAGCAGCAGCAGCAGCAGCAGCAGCAGCGGGGTGCTGGCGCTGGCAGTGGAGGGGGGGAAGGGCAGCAGGGGAAGCTGCTGCGGGGGGCGGGAGGGCTGCTGCTGCGGAGGAGGAACTTGCTGTCGAAACGTGCGGGGAACCCGAAACCCTAAACCCTAAACCCTAAATCCTGAACCCTACCGGGAATGACTTTCTCAGATGCGATGTAGGAGAGAGCCAAGGCGCTGCCTCCCTCCTTCATGAGAGGCAAAAAGTGCTGCAGCAAGGACACGAAGGAGTAGCTACTGCTGCTGACAGCAGCCAAGTAACCCTTGCGAGATGTCTGCAGCAGAGGCTTCGTCACCTGAAGCGCAACGCCCAAGCTCCAAACCCTAAACCCTAAACCCTACTCCGTAAACCCGAAGCGTCCTCCTCAGATTACCTGAAAGCCCAGAAACCCTCAGCTCCAAGCACTAAGCCCGAAGTGCATACAAGTGCCTCCCCGCAGCCCACGGACACACCCTAGACCCTAAACCCTAAACCCTAAACCCTCGCACCTCAGGGCCGTTTGCCAGGGAGTGCACGAGAATGTCGATTTGGCCCACGTCGGCCCTCACTGCCTCAGCCACTTCTGAGATCGTGAAGCCGTCAACGCCCGCGTAGCGCTTGTTGCTTGACACCTGCAGCAGCAGCAGCAGCAACAGCAGCAGCAGCAGCAACAGGTGACAAAGGGGTTCTCTCTGTGTCCTCTTTGCTCCATTTAAGCCTATATATAAATAGAGATTTGCTGCGCAGCGAGAGCGTCTTGGCCCAAGTAAAAAGCCCGCAGCTGCAGCACAACTCTGAGCCTGTATTCAGGCATTTACAGCTTTAATGCATTTGAATGAAAATATAAACATAAATATATATACAAACACGAATTTAATTATGAATATATATATACATGAATATAATTATAAAGCTCTAAATATAAGGATCATACTTCGACGTCCAGGGCTTTCGCCACTCACACGCCCGAATCTACACCTAATTACTTCGCATGAACATGCACACATATATATTTACATTTATATTTATATTTATATTTATTTAATTAATTAATTGAATTTGATAAATGGGCGCGGAAAGAGTGAAGTGGTAGTAAGGATGCATGTGAAGAAGCAAATAAGCAATTAAGTTAATTATATTTATATTTTCATTTGTATTTATATTTACATTTATGTTTGTACTTATTCTCAGTTATATATATATGTGGATATATAAGCACAGAAGAAGACATGAAGCCTTCTGGAGCCTCTGAGCGTCCGCAGCCGCAGCACCGCCGGCAGCTGCCGTTGCACCTGCAGCAGCAGCAGCAGCAGCTGCAGCTGCTGCTGCTGCGGCGCTGGCCCTGTGAGCATAGCTTGCCTCTGGGGGCACATCTTGGGGGGTGTCGAACACAGCGTCGAGAGGGTAAATTTTGTCGAAGACGAGATCTACGGGTTTCTCTGCTGCTTCAGCAGCAACTTTGCTGCTGGGCTCCTGGGCGTAGAAGCTGTCTTGTTCGAAACGGCTGCTTTCGAGGCCCTTTTTGAAGATGGAATAAACTGGGGGCCAAGTCCCCACCAGCACGCGCGCGCCCGCAGCCCGCAGTAGCTTGCAAATGGCCCACCCGTAGCCGTTGCTGTCCGCCACGCCTGCGCAGCAGCACCAGCAGTACCAGCGGCGCGGCGCCCTCGCAGCAGCAGCAGCAGCAGCAGCAGTCCTACGGGTAGCAGGAGGAACAGCAGCACGTACCTGCAACAAACGCGGTCTTCCCACGCAGGTCCACTGGCAGCGGGCCGCTCAATGGCTCAGCGGTCCCCGTGGGACCCGCTGCTGCTGCAGTGCTGCTGCTGCTGCTGCTGGACACGCCCCGCGGCACCACAGCAACCTGCTGAACAGGCTGCTGCTGCTGACTTGCAGTTGGGACGGCAGCTGTGGGGCGCAGTCGCTGCTGCAGTTCAGCCCCTCTGGCTTCGGGCCCGGGGCCGACGCGGAAGGCAGCAGCCAGCTGCCCTTGCTGCTGCTCCAGCAGCAGCATTAAGAAAACACCTAATACGAGAAAACGCGTCATTTTCAAGCCAGGATCCTACGAGGATCGGAGGGAGGTGACAGCCGACACGCCGATTGCCGCAGCCGCTGCTGCTGCTGTTGTTGCTGCTGCGTGAAGATGCACGGGCGTGAGGACACACGAGAAAGGAAGAACACTGAAAGAATTGCTGGCAGCAGACTGAGAGGAGCTAGCCAGCAAAGACAGGGGCTCAATCCCTGAAGGGGGTTGCTGGTGTCTTGTTTGTCTCATCGCCCGCCAGCCCTGCCAGCCGTACCAGCAGCCGCTGCTGCTGCTACAGCTGCGCCGCTACGTGGCTACTACAGCAGCAGCCAGCGAGGCTGGTGGTCCAAAGATTCTCTATCTCGTTGGCTTGATTGTAATAAAACTCTTTAGTACATTCAATTTTTGAACTGGGGATGGCATTTCGAATTTCTCGGCTCTTTGGGCATAGACAAGCGACCAGCATCAGCATCAGCAGCAGCAACAGCTGCAGCAGGAGCCGCAGGCCCGCTTACTTGTTGACGGAGCGGCTGCATGCTTTAAGCTTGGCTGCTTCTTCTGTCATTTCGGTCCTCTTCTACATTATAAAGACTTAAGCCCACGTAGACCCCCTTTTAGCTGTTGCGGTCTCTCTAGCAGCAGCAGCAGCAGCGCAGGCACCACCAATAGCAGCAGCGGAAGCGGCAGTAGCAGCAGCAGCAGCAGGGAAGAAGTCAGGACATCCCACTAAAGAACAGCAGCAGCTCCACAAATTTGATGAGGCGGCAGCAGCAGCTGCTCCAGTTGAGGGCGGGAGCCCTAGAGGCCTCAGCGCTCCAGCAGCAGAAGGGGAGCCAGCAACCGCAGCAGCAGCGGCGGGCGGCAGCGGCAACAGGCAGCAGCAGCAGCAAAGGCTTAAGGCCGCGTCGGAAAGATGGAGAGGGCGGAGAGAAGGCCTGCTGCTCCCACAGCTGATCCCGCAGGGGCTGTTGCTGCGGCGTCTTCATCGGCAGCCTCCGCAGCAGCAGTAGCAGAACCAGCAGCAGCAGCAGCAGCAGCGAAAATGGCCAGCAATCGTCCTGCGCCGCGTTCTGAGTCGAGCCAGCAAAAGCCCGGGCAGAACGAGGAGAGCAATAATGACAGGCGTGGCACTAGAGGCAGCAGCAGCAGCAGCAGCAGCAGCGACAGCAACAGCAGCAGCAGCAGCGGCGACAGCAGCAGCAGCACAAGGCGGCCGATATCTTTTTCTGTTGCGCCAAGCGCTTCTGATAAAGGCTGCTTACAGTGCAGGCAGGCCACAACGGCAGCAGCTGCAGGAGCAGCAGCAGCAGCTGCTGCTGCTGCTCCGGAACTGCTGCAAAGCGTCAGTGACAGCAGCTCTTCTGCTGAGCCTTCGACTTTACCTTCCGCTGCACCCGGTAACCCTGGCGTTGAAGGTCAGCGCTTCGAGCTAGCTCACCAGGAGCCAGAAGCAGCAGCAGCAGCAGCAGGTACAACAGCAGCAGCAGCAGCTGACACTGATGTTCCTGAAGAGGCTGAAGAGGCGGAGGCGGAGGCCCCAGCAGACGAGTCAGTGACTCTCGCCAACTTCATGCGAGGGGGTCGCAGCGCTGCAGCAACAGCAGCAGCAGCAGCAGCAAGACGACGGCGCCACCCCGAACTAGCAGCAACAGGGTGGGAGCCTGCACAGCCCCCGACGCAAGCTGGCGCCTCCAGAAGCAGCAGCAGCAGCAGCAGCAACAGCAACAGCAGCAGCAGTGCGATTGCTGCGCTAGCTAGCGGCGCCCCAGTGCTCGCCCCGGGGTGCGTGGTGGCAGCAGCACGGCAAGCAGCAGCAGCAGCTTCGGAAGCAGCAGCAGCAGTGGCGTCGCTGCATGCGGGGCAGCTGTCTTTGCTGCCAGCTGCGAGTGCAGCAGCAGCAGGAGCAAGAGCTTTGCTGCCGTCTGCTGCTGCTGCGCGGGCCCACCGCAGCAAAAGGAAAAGACTAAGAGAACGCAAGACCATTTTGTCCGAAGCTGACTGGGAAGCAGCACTTAGTGCTGTCATAGAGAAAACTTACTATCCTGATTTGCCGCTGCTGCGGCTGCTGCAGCAGCTTCTGGCAGCAGAAGGCGAAGGAGACGAAGCAAAAGTGGCCAGAATTGCGCAGCAGATCTCCACCCTTGCTGCTGCCACTCCTGTGCACCTGCAGTCGGCGAAGAGGCAACAGTGCGCGCTGCAGCTGCAACTGCAGTACGAGCAGCAGCAGCAGCAGCGGAAGCAAGAGCGGGAACGGGAGCAGCAGCAGCTGCAGCAGTCGGAAGATGATGAGCGGGAAGCACGCAGGAGGCACAGCACCGCGGAGTCGCCTCAGCAGCAGCAGGGAGAGCAGCAGGAAGAACAGAAGCAGCGAAAGCAGCAGCAAGGACAGCAGCAGCAGCAGCAAACTGATGACGATGAAGATGATGATGAGCCTGTTGTGCTGAAGCATGTGAAACGAAGTGGCCAAGCGCGGCTGCAGCAGGAAGTAATCGACGTGGACGCCAGCAGCAGCAGCAGCAGCAGCAGCAGCAGCAGTGACTCTGAAGAGGACGAAGATGGCGTTGCTGGAGGTCTTCTCGACGCGGATGAACTGAGGAAGCAGCAGGAAGAGCAGCAGTTGCTGCGGCAGCAGCAGGAGGACGCAAAGCAGGCTTTGCTGCAGCAACGGGAAGAACTGCAGCTGCAGATGCAGCTGCAGCAGCAGCAGAAACGGAAAGCCAGAATAGGCGTCGATGAGTTCCTTGAAATGTTCACATCCGAAGACCTACAGAGTGCGCAGCAGCTGCTGCAGCAGCGAGAGGAGCGCCTGCAGGATAAACGAAATGCTCTCTCGGAGCAGCAGCAGCAGCACAACAGCAGGCAGCTGCTGCTGCAGCAGCACACAGTTGCAGGCAGAACTGTGCCAGAGGGCCCTGCTGTTGGCTTCCATCCGGGCCTCACGCGTCTTTTTTTTAAGGGGGTCGATGGTGAAGAAGATCCTCGGAATCTAATGCCAAGGTATGCAGCAGCAGCAGCTGCTGCTGCAGTAGCAGCTGATGCAGTAGCAGGAGCAAGCTAAGCGAGGCCGCAAACTGAATAGGACACAGGAAACGGAATGCAAAGGCGTGGCCACCAACAGCTGCTGCTGCGCTTCTGCTGCTGCTTCTGCTGCACTGCTGCTGCTGTTGCGTTTGTGTGTTGCAGAGGGGAGCTACGCGCGGAGTGCACGCGTTTTACGACGCTGCAGCGGGAGCTGCAGCAGCAGCAGCTGCGGCAGCAGCTGCAGCTTCGTCGGCAGCAGCATCTGAATGTCGAGCAGCAGCACATGCACCAAGTGGTGCAGCAAGGCGCCTTCAGGCCGCCTCCGCAGCAGCCAAAAGAAAGAGAATTTCATCTGTCAGGGCAGCAGCCAAAAGGCTATTCTTTCGTCAGCTCTCCTGTCACTTTGCCTGCCAAGAGAGCCCAGGAGCCTTCCTCAAGCGAGCTCACATGGGGTACCACCTGCCGCTGCTGCTGCTCTGGTTGTTGCAGCTGCTTTTGTTGTTGCTGCTGCTAGGTCTGGGGGTATTTATGCGGCTGCCGCTGTCGGAGCTGTTGCTCCAGGGGTGGGCACTGCTGCTGCCGTGCCTGCTGGAGAGTGCTGCTGTCATGGGCGTCTGAGTCGTCACTATGACGCTGCTGCTGCTGCGCTGCTGTTGCAGGCTCGCTGCTCAGCACGCCAGTGCTGGTGCAGATAGGCGCGACGACTCCCTGCATATCTTCTGCTGTTATGGGCGACGCGGCGCCACTCAAGAGAGACTTCGTGGGCTTTCAAATGCCGGAGCCTGCGGGCAGGGAAGCAGCAGCGCTGCGGCTGCAGCAGCAGACAGCGGAAAAGCACCACAGGAAGCAGCAGCACCGGCACACGCTGATGGAAGAAGCAGCAGCAGCAGTCGCCGGCAGCAGCAGCAGATGCGGCAGCACCGTTTTTGGGGAGCGCAGCCTCAGCGGCAGGCGAAGTGAGACCATCTCTCTTGCTGCTGTGGCCATGCGGAGGCTCGTGAGAGCCCGCAGCAGCTCGGCGGCCAAAGGCAACAGCAGCAGCAGCAGCAGCAACGCGCAGATTGCTGCACTGATGCAGTCGCCGCTTCTGCAGGCGCTCTCAGGCAGAGTTGTTCCCCAGGGAGGACTTGATTTGCAGCTGCGGGCTGCATACGCCCGGAAACGTAGGGGTGAGTTCGCGCAGCAGCAGCAACAGCAGCAGCAGCAGCGGGAGGGGCAGCTGCTGTGGGGAGATGCAGGTGTCAGGGAGCTTAAAGGGTGCGTTTGTCGTTGATGCTTGTGGGGCTCAGGAATCAGCAGCAAACAAGGCAGCAGCAGCAGAAGCATCGCCTCCATCAACACCCCCGCGACCTCCCAAAAGGCCAGCAGCAGCAAAACCAACGCATAGGACCCCCAGCGTGCCTGGCGCACTCTGCTGTTGCTGCTGCGGCTGCTGCTGCTGCTGCAGTGCCAGCAGCAGGAGCAAGACTTCGCTTTTTCTGTAGTCACGCGGAAGTGCCGGAAGGTAGAAGATATGCAGCGGCGTTGCTGTTGCACGGGAGCTGCCGCTGAAGCCCAACTGCTGCTGCGGCGGAGTTGCTGCTGCAATGAAGTAGCTGCACTGACTACGCAGTAGTGTGCACCAGCAGCGGCAGCTGCCGACTTTTGCCACATTTTTTGGACATCGAATTGCCCTGTGCTCTTTTTATTTAGTTATTTAGGACCTTCTGAAACACCCCTTGTCTGCGGCACTGACAGCAGTACCAGCAGGAGCTCAAGCAGCAGCAACAGCTTCACTCATGCAGCTTAGCCTGATTGTTTTTGCACTCTACGGACGCGAGTAGGCGTAGGCAGAGCGCACTCACACAGAGGCAAACAGCAGCAGCGGCAGCAACAACACGAAGACAGCAGAACAGCGAGTAAAACGGCAGCAGCAGCAGCAGCAGAAAGTAGTAAAAGGCCTTAGGCTTTAGGGTTTTGTTCACTACAAGAGTTGGTCAAGGGGTATGCTCAGGCTCTTAGCAGCACTGACGATAAGCTCTATATCGGCCAGCAGCGTGAGCTTGGTGGAGGGGTGCAGCAGG